TTCCCCCACAGCAGATGGAGGGAGCTTTAAAAACCTTCAAGCAAATCCTTCCCCTCCCTAGTCCTCAACGCTCCTCAGCCAAGTCTGTTCTGGCCTCAGGACCTTTGCACCTGCTATGCCCCTTCCTGAGAATGTCGTCCCCCAAGATCTCTCAATTGCTGGCTCTTTCTCCACCTTCAGAGCTCAGTGTTACCTCCTCCAAGAGGCTGGCACTGACTTCCGTGGCTAATCAGTTGTCTGGAGTTGACTCTGACTCATACAACCCCATGAGTGTCTGTCAGAGTAGGACTGTGCTCCACTGCATTTTCTTGCCAGTAATCTTTATGGAAGCAGATTGCCAGGCCTTTCTTCCACAGCACCACTGAGTGGGTTGGAATCACCAACCTTTTGGTCAGCAGTTGAGCACAAACTGTTCTGTCACACCAAGCCACACAGGGACCTCAGTTTATTTTTAGGGAGTCCTAACCTCTAAGACACCATCCCTACATGGTGCAAATGCTTAAACGATCCAGCTACAAACCAAAAGGTTAAAGGTTTGTATCTACCCAAAGGTGCTACTGTTGGTGTTAGGTGCCGTAAGTTGGTTCTGACTCATAGCAGCTCTAGGTACAACAGAATGAAACACTGCCTGCTCCTTACCCAGAGGTGCCTCAGAAGAAACGCTTAGTACTCCAGTTCTGAAAAATCAGCCATTGAAAACCCTATGGAGCACAATTTCACTCTGACACACATGGGGTCACTGTGAGGCAGCATCAACTAGATGGCAACTGGCACAATTTTACTTTAGAAAGAGACTTGATATTAATACCCTAAGAGTAGGCCAGCTCCACTTGCCACAAATCACCAGTAACTGTACAAACACATACAAGGAAAATAAATAGCATTCAACTCTGCTCACTGTTCACACAGTTGTCATCAAGTCAACTCTGACTCACAGTGGCCCCATGTGTTACTGAGTAGAACTGTGCTCCACAGGGTCTTCCTAGCTGTAATTTTTACAGAAGCACACTACCAAGCCTTCTGTGGTACCAGGAGGGTTTGAACCACCAACTATTAGGTTAATAGCCATGTGCAAACTATTTGCACCACTCAGGGGCCTTTGGGGTAAGAGAAACTGTGGAAGGTACATCAGCCTCCAACTGAGCCTTTCTACTGGAGGAAATGTTGTTGTTGTTAGGTGCCATCGAGTCGTTTCCAACTCATAGCGACCCCATGCACAGCAGAACGAAACACTGCCCAATCCCGCACCAGCTCCATGATCCCTGCTATATGAGGCAATGAGAGACTAGAAAAATCCATGACTCCCACCATGTCCCTCCCCTGAACATCCAAAACCACTTCACTGGTCCTCTCCCCACTCTGAAACCCCAGCCCTAGGACCAACCTTGGCCAAGTTGTCATCTAGGGGAGTCGTTTCTTCCTTGGGGGCCACTGATGCTGTCTGCCTTGCAAGGTCCCACCACAGCAGCCCAGGACCTAGGGTGCTGCGCTTGGTGGGGCCTGAAGATCAAAGAGAAAAGGGGATGTTTAATGAAAGGGCAGTGGGAGCTGGAAATGGGGCTCTGGTGGGGAACAGGGGAAGCCCTGTGCTCTAGTGTCTTATGAGCTCAAATATCAGCTCTGATAGAGACCTATTGGAGGCCCCTGGCAAGACTCTATCCATCCCTGACCTTCAGTTTCCTCATCTGCATGGTGAGAGACTGAAAGCCATCAATGGATGTCCTGTAGGGTCCACTAAGTTGTTCCATTTATGGCTGTGTCTCTAGTGCCAAGAACAGTGCCTGATATAGAAGAGGTGCTGAATAAAGGCTTGTTGACCTAGTGCATGCAAGACGTAGGACTTAAGAAGTAAGAATAGGTACTGCTATCACTATGGATGTCTTTCTCTCCCTACTTGCTCCATTATAGTCAAAGTGTTTTGTTTTGTTTCAGCACCAGGGACAGAGCCCTGTAGCCATGAAGGCCTGGTGTCACTGGTGATGGGGGTGGGGTGCCTTAGTTTCTCCCTCTGCAAACTGGGACTAGTGACTGTCATCTCAAAGGGCTGTCATGAGTGTTAAGAGCCCAGATGTGCCCAGCATGGAGTGGATACTTGACCACTTCCTGTTGACCTTGAGGCAGAGGGATAAATGGGATGACTTCTGAGGAGGTTGCCCACCATGCTCACCTGTCAGGCAGCTGACCAGGGCACCACACAGAACAGTGCTCAGTGTGCCCAGCGTGCCATAGTACAGGTAGGAGATGGCGTAGAAGCTGTCGGCCAAGCCAGGTCGGCCAGGGTCTGTCCCGGGGCTGGAATGAGAAGCATGGATGATGAGCCTCCTCCTTCACCCCTTTCATGTCCAGAAAGCATCCCCAACACTTCCACTTTCTCTTGCCTCCACAACCACAGCCTAGTTAGCCCTCCATCAGTGCCTGCTAGGACACGTGCAGTAGCCAGTCCTCCCTTCTCTCCATTCTCCAGGTGTTCTTCACACACAGCCAGAGGGAGCATTCCAAAAAGGCAACTCAGATCACCTCCTGCCCCTGCTCATCACCTTCCATGGTTTCCCACTGCCCTCAGAACCAAACCAAACTAAACTCTTAGAAGAAAACAAAGGTATGAATATTCATGACCATGTTGTTATTTGCCGTCGAGTCAGACTCATAGCGACCCCTCCTTGGGTTTCCGAGGCGGTATCACTATGGAAGTAGATTGCCCAACCTTCCTTCTGAGGAGTGGCTGATAGGTTTGAACCGCCAGCCTTCTGGTTAGCAGTCAAGTGCCTTAGACACTACACCACCAGAGCTCCCATTCATAACCATAGGTTAGGTAATCACTTCTAGGATATGACACCAAAAGCACAAGCAACCAAAGAAAAAAATAAACTGGACTTCCTTAAAATTAAATTAAACAAATATAAACAAATAAATAAAAAAAATAAAATGACCAGTGACGACACTGGCTAGGATCTAAAGCAAACGCAACTCCCATACACTGCTAGTTGGGATGTAAAATGGTCCCATCACTTTGGAAGAAGGTTTGGCAGTTTCTTAGAAAGTTAAATCTATCTCAAGTCTTTAACTCTGCTATTCCATTCATAAGTATTTCACTTAAGAGAATGGTAACATATCCACAAAAATACTTGTACAAGAATATTCCTAACAGCCTTATTTAAAATAGCTAAAAACTAGAAATAACCTAGTGTCCATCAACTGGAGGCTGAATAAAGTGTGATATGTTCATAGCATGCAACACTTTCCAGCAATAAAAAGGAGTGAATTACCTACACGTGCAACAAGATCAATGAAGCTTGCAGACATTATGCTGAAAAGAAGAAGCCTAGCACAAAAGAGTGCATATTGGATGATTCCATGTACATGAAATTCTAGAACCGGCAAAACTCATCTACCGTGAACAAAAAATTCAGAACTGTGGTTGCCTAGAGGGTGGAGAGTGGAAGAAGAATTGACTGGGAAGAGAGAGGAAGAAACTTCCTGGGGTGATGTGATTGTCATGTATCTTCATTGTGATAATGGTTTACAAGGCTATATCCAAGTTCAAAAATGAATAGTTCATATTTGGTCATTTTGATATATGTAAATTTTAACCTTAAAAAAGAATCAAGTGGGAGATGGAGAGTGGGTGGAGGGATAGATTAAACAAAATGGCAGTGTTGATGATTGCCAAACCTGAGCGACGGGGAGAAAGATAGTTATTACACTGTTCTGTGTATTTCTAAAGTGTTTGAAGTCTTTTAACTAAAAAAAAAGGGGGGGTGGGGTGGAGGGGAGCACTATCAAGAGAGTAAAAAGACAACCACAGGGTGGGAGAAAATATTTGTTAATCATGTATCTGATAAGAATTTAGAATATATAAAAAACTCTCACAATTCAACAAGAAGAAGACAAATAGCCCAATTTTAAAACAGGCAAAGAATTTGAACAGACATGTCTCCAAAGAGGATACAGGCATACCTCAGAGATATTGGGGGCTTGGTTCCAGACCACTGTAATAAAGCAAGTATCATAATAAAGCAAGTCACATGCATTTTTTAGTCTCCCAGTGCATATAAAAGTTATGTTTATAGTATACTGCAGTCTATTAAGTGTGCAATGGCATTATGAAAAAGTTTGAAATATTGTGAGAATTACTAAACTGTGACACAGAGACATGAAGTGAACACTCACTAAAACTTACTGCCGTCAAGTTGGATCTGACTCATAGCAACGCCTCCTTGGGTTTCCAAGGTGGTATCTCTATGGAAGTAGATTGCCCAATCTTCCTTCCCAGGAGTGGCTGGTGGGTTTGAACCACCAGCCTTCTGGTTAGCAGTCAAATGCCTTAGGGAAAAATGGCACCAATAGACTTGCTCAAAGTAGGGTTGCCACAAATCTTCAATTTGTAAAAGAGCGCAGTATCTGAGAAGCACAATAAAATGAGCTGTCCTGTAAGGGACGTCAACAAGGTCATGAAAAGATGATCGATGTCATGAGACATCAGGGAGACTCAAAGCAAACCCACAGTGAGACACCACTTCACCTCCACTAGGTTGACTAGAATCAAAATGACAATAACAAATGTTGACAAGGACATGGGGAAGCTGACACCCTTGTGCATGGTTGGTTAGAATGTAAAATGTTACAGCTGCTATGGAAAACATGGTGGTTCCTAAAAAAATTAAGCATAGAACTACCATTTGACTCAGCAATTCCATTCCTAGGTATACACCAAGATAAGTGAAAACATACGTTCACATAAAAACCCAAATGTTCATAACAGCACTGTCTACCATAACCAAAAAGCAGAAACAACCCAAATGTCCATCAGCAGATGAATGGATAAACACAATGTGGTCCATCCATACAATGGAATAGTA